ATCATTCTTGTATTTCTTAAAAGCTTAAGAAAACCCTTGATACTTTCGATACTTGATTTTGAAAAATATGATTCCTGATTCAACAATTCGTGCATTAATCTTCTATTAGATATATTTTATAAAAGGAGTTTTGAAAATTTAGTATTTCTTTCTCTAATTTATTCCTTGATTTAGATATTGAATTAAAAATTTTTTAGCCTTTTTAAATAACTTGAGTTTGGATTATCAAATTCTGAATTTCTAACATTTTTTAGGCTATGCGTTGTCAATACAATTCTACTAAATTTTTGATTAAAACCAAGAGGTAACTTTCTCATTTTAAGAATATTTATTTTGTTCACTAGAACAGAGATTATTTTGTTTGTGCCCCTTCTCTTTTTGATAATGTCAAAGTGGGAGAACGTACTGTCGAATTTGTGTCCTTTTTTCTTTTTTTTCTTTCAAAAAATTTTAAAAAAAATAACAACAACAAAATTTTTTTATCTCCCTTATTTTTAAAGTTTTATTCTAGTAAGGGGAGATTAGGAGAAAATATTTTCATCTTTGTAAATTCAAAATTGCAATGTTTGTCATCATCAAAAAGGGAAAGATTGTTGCGGATCTGTTTTCATGTATTATGATTTTGATGATGGCAAACACTCTTATTGCAAATACTCTTATTTCTCTACGACTGTCTTATTTACTGACATCGCATGTCCATAAGATTAGACTGTAATTTGGAATCAGCTTAAAATTGGGTAGACTAGGTCTGAGTCAATTTATAACCCTTTTCCTTTCTTGAGTCTATTGTATGTGGTGTGGCTCATGATGCTTTGTAACTTGGAAGATTCTCTAACTGTTCCCTAATATTTACTGTTTTTGGTAACATCATCTGGGACGATATTTATATCGTCCTGGACGATCGGTTCAAAAGCAAAAACTCTGATTAGGACATCCTCATTAAAGCAGCCGTCATTGTGCAAAAACATCATCCTGGACGATTTTGTATCGGCCAGGATGATAGGCTCAAAACAGAAAAAAACTGCCGCCATATCTATTTAGGAATTACTTATTTTTTGACATCGTCCAGGGGATCATCCAGGACTATAAAATATCATCCAGAACGATCCAGAACAATTTTTTCCAAAATTAATCTGGCATTTAAGGAAAGCAATTATGACTTGATTGGATGATCAAATCGTCATGGACGATCACAGGATTGTTCGGGATGATACGCTCGACGATTGGACATCAGACAGCTCTTTTTCAGGGCGATGTTCAGGACGATATTCCATGATTTATTCTGATCGTCCAGGACAATATATTATCATCCCGGATGATATGAATAAATTTCTTCTGATTGGGCTTATTTTGCACTGATTGTACATGACAATATTAGTATCATCTTGGACGATAAAGTTGACAACTTACATTAATGAGCTTATTTTGAGATCTTCTATTTAAGCTATAATATGACACTTGGTAAGTGTCTTTGGCAGTCATTGTAGCTTTATTCTTTTGGGGGAAACTTGAAGAGAGAGCTTGAAAGAGAGTGAGTAAAGGGTGGAGTTTGAGAGAGGGAGAAGATCCTTTGAGGGGGGGAAGAAGAAGATCTCTTTGGTGTCAAAGGACCCGGCTACTTCGCCGCACCGGAGAAGGTGGAAGTGATTTTGTAAGGGCTTCTCCGCTTAGCTTTGGGGGGATAAAGGAGATGCTTAGTTTAATGCAATACTCGGAGGGTACCTCCGAAGAGTAGATGTAGGTCAAGGTTTGACCGAACCACTATAAATCCGGTGTGTTCTTTCTTTATTACTTCCGCATTTAATTTCCGCATTTGGTTTTATTGTGGTGATATTGATTTTGGTTTGTGTTTTGATTTAAATATTCATCTTTTCCAATTTGACCTCTCTCTTTATTAGCCTTGGGCTAGTTCATAAAGGGCATAACATCCCTAAGAAACTTTCATGCATATCAACAATTAAATCCTATAATAGTTGCATTTATAAGATCATTGAATGAGTATATAAACAATAAAATTTATTTGCAGTAGTAGTAAAATTTGTAAATAATAAATATTATAATATACAAACTAGTAAAGAAAGAAATAGTATGAGTGTCAAATTTATAAAGCAATCATCATATCATTAATACCAATCAGTACATAAATCATATAAAATATTAAATCAAAATATCATTAAAGACTGTCAAAATCAAATCGATATAATAAAATCATATAGGAATTACACATGCTATTCAGACATTCTTTATCTGTGCTTAGTATATCACACTACAGGAAAAATGGCCTAAACCGGCGGTTTTAACCGGAGGTTTAGAGGCCGTCGGTATTACCGACGGCTACACCGGCGGTTAAGCCGTCGGACTCTAACGACGGCTTAATCGACGGCTTAGCTACGACACACCGTCGGTAATACCGACGGTCTCTAAACCGCCGGTACACCGCCGGATTTCAACATTAACCGGCGATTATCCGGCGGTCTAAACCGCCGGTGATATGTGAGTTTTTCCGGCGGTTTAGACCGCCGGAAAACCGCCGGATATAGACGTGAACCGGCGGTTTTCCGGCGGTCTTAATCGACGGTGATAAGTTATTTTTTCCCGGCGGTCTAAACCGCCGGAAAAC